CCTCTCCCCACCGTGGCTGAAGAGGCTAAGAATACTCAGCACTGTAAGACTCTGAAGCTTCAGAGTCATCAAAACCCATTTGGGCCCTTCCCAAGTCACCCACTGCTGCCAGGAGCCTCACCAACACAGCCCAGGAAAGCCAGGTCCTGCCCTGCCAGCTAGAATCAGGGTCACTTCTTGTGCTCATTTGCCAGCCTGGCACATTTGGTGTCAGGAACAGAAACTTCTGATCCGGGAGCATGCAGTCATGAAGGTTTTTTTTTTTTTTTTTTCCTTTATCCTTTTAAACAAGTCTTTTTTCTTGTCCTTTTAGGAAAGATTAATTCGACCTTAAGATACCTGGTCTCCAGGAGCCTCACAGCTTTGTTCCTCAAGAGGAAGAGGGAAGAACAACCTCCAGTCAGTGGGTGGTGCTCACAGACAACTTGATGGTAGAGGTGGAGCTTTCTAGACTCCACCCGCTAACGTCAACTCAATGGTAGAAGGTGCAACTTTACAAACCCCACCACCTGAGCAGGGGCTGATGGGAAAAAGGGGGGCACTGAAGCTTTGGGGAAGTTAAGCTTCTGAAACTCTTGACCAGATAAATTACTGGGCTTTTGATAGTTCAAACCACTGAACTCTGGGTCAGGTAAGCTGCTGGTGAGAGGGTTATCTGTGGAGAAGCCACCAGCTTGCCTCCTATGGCTTTGGCCTGGACCTCCGTCTCTGCTCAGCGGATGCCCCTGGGGTAGGACAGACGCATCTGGCCATCTGCCAGTCTATAAATTCTCTTTCTTCCCCCTCCCCTTTTTCTCACTCCTTGTGTATGTCATGCTAATGTTTCACACCATCCTGCAGTCCGAAGCACATGAGTGAAGACCCAGAAACTGGCTCGGGCCCTTCCATCCCCTCCCGGATTTGCCTGGTTTCATTCCTCACTCTACGCTCCTGTCCCCTGCCCACCCCAGGATGCTTAAGGTTCTCCCTTTGGCTTGTTCCTCACCCTCACTGGGCAGGGTGCCACTGCTCACCTGCCAAGAGGCGGCTCTTGCACATGCCCTGGGGCCCTACCAAAGGCCACCAGCCACCATGCAGTCAGGAATCTGCTCTTTCTGTTTTGTTTTCAGTCAACAGTAGGGCAGATTCAGAAGCCAGCATCATTTCACAAACAGATGCAAAGCAGAGAGACAGAGGTAGAAATTATAGACTGAGGGCCTCCCTGATGATGCAAGGGCTAAGACGCAGCACTATGAAGCTATCTGTAGCCTCTGCAGCACAAGTTTGATCCCTGGGCAGGGGGCTGACCCACATGGCACAGCAGACCTTTCCTGTCTCTCCCGCTGCTCCCCTCAGCAGTGTATTTCAGTCAGTCTGCCTGTTCTGTTCCCCACTCTGTCTCTGGTGAATCCTCTCAGCCCCTGCACCTCTGGCCTGTGCCCCAGTTCTTGTATGCATGAATAAATAAATCTTTTTTTTTAAAAAAAAGAAATTTAGAGGCCAGTCACAAGAAAAAGGGCACCAGGGTAGGAGAATGCCCCAGATGGCAAGGCGCCTAAAAGGAGGGAACCAAGTATTCAATGCTCTCTTATGCTGGAGTAGAACGTTGGCAGTTGGTGTGGACATGAGGTGGATGGGTGCCGCCCAATCAGCCCCAGCCATGGTCCTTGAGCATGTGGGCTAGCTCAGTAATGAATTTGCTTTCTTTTATTATTTCTGGCGGCTTCCAATAGCATGTTCACAGTTCAAGTCCAGAATGGTTTTGCAGTTTTCTGTGTGACGTCTTATTAGAAACACTGGCTCTTCTGCAGGCTGGCAGCTCACATTAACCATAGGTTCATCCTTGACTTTCTTGCAGGGACTTGGGAATGTCCATCGTGATTGGCCATAATGAATGCAGCTGTAGCTCCAGCGGCAGGAGAGCAGGTATGCCCGGAAACTCTTGGATCTTTTCATCTTCACCATGGGCTGTGTGGACTGTGGTGTGAATTTTGGGGGTACCCACAAAGCCCCCGCACAGGATAGGTCGCATGGGAAACACTGCGACACACAGGGAAAGGCTGAGGCTTGGCGGGGGTGGGTGTGGGGCAGGCTCCACGCTCGGGTGATGTGTTCAGGGGCAGGGCCCTGGGTCTCGGCTTGGAGCAGAGCGCTAGAGCTGCTTCTCGGCAGCCCGGCAGCAGGCTGCTCGGGCCAGCCAGTGCTGACTTGGCTCCTTGGGGCACAGCAGCAAAGGACCAGTAGGCTGAATCTTCTTGCCCATTTTTCTATTGCATTAGTCTTTTTCTTGAATTATACTGACACTTTACTTATCTAAGATAATTAGCCCTTTTTCTGTCAGGGGTGTTGCAGACATTTCCCCTCAGTTTATCATTTGCTTTCTGACTTCGGCTATGCATTTTCAGCATGTCAGGCAGAAATCCCTAATTTTCATGTGGTCAAACCTATCCATCTCTTTGGGACTTCTGCATTTTAGGTCACGTTTAGAAAATATATTCTGAAATTTTTCTTTTTAATTCTTTTGTGCCTTTTTTTCCTCTTTCTTTTTCTGGGAGTTTGTTTTCTCATTAAAGTCCTTGATTATCTATAATTTCTCTTGCTATCAGAATGAGATAGGGCTCTAGCTTTGCACAGGATAATCAGAGATATATTTATTTGGTCTTTGTACCAGGTTCCTGGCACTGAGCCCTTAAATAACCGTTGGAACTTCCTGTGTTATAGGAATGTCGTTTGGGCTTCTCAGAATGAGAAGGCTTGGGGTGGAGGCCCTAGATAGGCTCGGGGCAGGGCTGGTCACCAGAAAGACCAAATGAGTACAGGACTGGAACTTTCAGATCACCTGCCCACATGTGTGAAGTCCATAGCTTAGGTACCATTACAAATTCTTGAACAATGAAATATGAGTTCTGGGTTGGTGAAGGCATCCAATCCTTGGGAGAGGGAAGAGGAGGATGGTGTCCACAGGTTTCCTGGGGACAGAAGCTCCTGCAATTGGGACCCTCACAGACCTCGCCCTACGTGTCTCTTCACGTGCCCGTTCTTCTGTGTCCTTTATAATATCCTTCATAAATGCATGTAAACATTTCTCCAACTTGGGTGAACTGCTCTAGCAAATTGAGCCCAGAGAGTAATGGGGGGTCATGGGACCCTCCAAATTTATCACCAGAGCATCAGGTGATATGACCTGGCTTGTGACTGGTGTCTGGAATAAACTCAGTCTGTGGGACGGAGCCTTTAATGTATAAGGTCTGACTCCATCTCCACTTAGATGGTATCAGAGTTGAATTAAATGTCTAGGACATCAATCCTGAGACTTGGAGAATTATCTGGTGATGCTGAAGAAAAAAACATTGCACCAACTCATGGTCCCAGCACTACTGATGAAGCTACAGCTTTCTCCACTAGGAGAAAATCCACTTTTAGTTCAGGTACAGTATCTCACATCTACCCCATTATGCCCTCCAACTTATGCCAAGCTGGGCTGTCTAGTTTTGCCAATCCCTGCTGTTTTCCTTCATAACTTTCTAGCTATTCTTGCATACTTATTTCTCATAAAAATTTTTGAATCAAAAACAAAAAAATAAAAAACAATAAAAATTTTCGAATCAGCCTCCTAATTCTACTCAAAAACAAAGTAGATATTTTCCCTGGAGTCACCTTAATTGAATACTTACAGGGAGAATGGACAACTTTCTAATGCCAGATCCCCTATCCCAGAGCAGGGAGTTCTTCCCGATCGTTCATCCTTCTGATGTACCATTTTGAAACGTCCAGTGGAGCAGCTCCCTGTCTTCCTGGGAGCAGCCACAGCAGGACGGCACCCTCTTGTCCACTGGGAACAGGCCGCACTACTCCCTAGGACCAGGGGATCTTGGCGTCCAACTCCATGAGCATGGGCTGAGGGAAGGACAACTTGCCACTTGTCCCTCTTCCCTGAGCCTGTCACAACAGTCGCCCTTTCTCTGCCACAGGGACTTATAGCACTTGTGACCTAATCAAGTCTCCACTCCACAGAAGCATCTGTGGATGAACAAGCAACTTGGATATCCTCAGGAACTGGGGCAGGCCTTTTCTCCCCTGACCTCGAACACACAGGGCCCATTGGAGCCACGGGGTGGGCCAGTTGGCTCAGGCCACAAATGCACAAAAGGACTCAGATATAAATTTCTCACCCATCATTAATTGAGGTGAATCACTGAAGCACATGGAGAGAAGTGAAAGAAGACAGTTACCAGAAAACCTAAATCTGAGTTCCTTTAGCAGGTCTTGGCCAGCAAGACGCTGCACATTTCATATAAAGCATGTAGCTGTTTGCAAATAGCACAGCCATCTTGCAGGATATAGCCAGATATAAGAGAACATTAGAAAAATAAGCCTGAATCTCTTGAGAGACACATAGTTATTACTCAAATCATAACTGGCATAACACTCTAAGATATACCAAAAACTGTTAAGTTACATCACTTTACCATTGACATTCTGAATTTCAGGATAGAAATACTTCAACAACTATGCTTCTTGTGTCCAGAGAAATAAAACAAGACTATACTGTATTTTTTTTTAAAGATTTATCTATTTATGCATACAAGAGCTGGGGTACAGGCCAGAGATGCAGGGGGTTGAGAGGATTCAACAGAGACAAGAGTGGGGAACAGAACAGGCAGACTGACTGAAACACACTGCTGAGGGGAGCAGCGGACAAGACAGGAGAGGTCTCTGCCTCGCCATGTGGGTTGCTCCCTGGCCGCCCGGGGATCGAACTGGTGCTACAGAGGCTGCAGATTGCTTCATAGTGCAGTGCTTAACCCCCTGTGCCACCAGGGAGGCCCTATACTGTATTTTAGTGCTAAAATAAATAATTAAACATCATAATTGCTGCAATTCTGTTTGGGCTTAACATCATGATTTCCTATGCTGGAGGCCTCTGAAATGGTGTCCCAAGTTTCCCCTGAAGGAAGTGAGCATCTTGATCTATGACCCTGGGCTGAGAGGATCAGGGTTTCATCCATGTTTTAACTCACATAACAATTTCCTTGCGGGTCTGCTCCAGCATCATGTACTGCGTCCACTCCTGTTCGGTTTCGTATGTCTTAGACTGATCCACGATCTTTTGGAACATTGTCCTCTTCCTGCAAAACACACCAGTTGGTTATCTTATTCTAAGATAACCAATCTTACCAGCACATTTTTGAAAAAGGCCATCTCTGGGTTTCTAACCTTGGCAACTTCACAGAAACTTATTAAATCAATCAGAACTAAGATGTTTGTTATTATCACAGAGATTGTTATTCTTAAAATAAGATGAAATACCAACTTGAAATATAAGGCGAGATCTGTAGCGATGATGGCAATGTCCATCATATGGATGGCATGCTCGTGCTGCCTGCGATTGAGGTTTTGAAAGATATTCAGGCCCTAAAAAAAAAAAAAAAAAACAACCAAAAAAAAAAAAAAAACACCACAGGACAGATCTGAGAAGTGATGCTGGCAATGAAGTCACTCAATGGCCAACGATTGCCCCAGGTGAGGGGAGAAGAAGCCCAGGCCAATGGCCAGAACACTAGGACTTCTTGGGAGGTGGGGCCCCTGCGCAGGCCCCAAGGCCATGCACAGGGCTCTGATCTACCTCATCTCTCAGCAATGTTTTTCCAAACTCCAAGTGGTGTCTTTCCAAGATGGATGATCCATGCAGCTTAGCCAGCGGGTTCTGGGATCTGAATGAGAGTGAGAGAGAATGAATCAGAGGGTTGGAGACATATCCATTTCCACTGCCTCTTGAGGCAGAGAAACCGAAATTGGGGATGAGAAGTGAGACTTTAGGAACCAGGACTAGAACCTCAGGTCTCCTGATGCTCAAGCCTGTTTCCTCCACAACTGATCTGAGTCTTTTAGGGATCATGGGCGGCACCTTAGGGAGTCTATCGAACAATGGATGCTTATCCCCAGAAAAAGGCACAAGCTCACATGATGCAACTTGCACATTTAGAGACATATAGGTCCTCTGTGGCCATCTACGGACACTGGCAGTATGAAGTCCAAGTCATAGGGGAAGCCATTGAATTCCCACAAGCAGTGTGTTTATTCAAGTCTTAATTCAGTAAACATTTGTTGAGTAAATACTATGTGCCAAGCTCTGAGCTCAGTATTTAGGGTGCTGAGGTAAAATGTAAACACAATCTCTAGCCCCAAGGCAACGTGCAAGAACTGAGGACTCAGAAGAATGTGTTCTAGTGCTGGCTAATGACATACAGGCCCCAGGTACTGGGCAAAACTTCCATTTCCTCATCTATGATGTGGCTATAGTTCTTGTCTCTGCCCAGCCCACAGGTGGTCCCGAGGCCCACCTGGACCGTGGTTCTAGGACTGTGCTTCAGAGACCACCTGGGACAGGAGTTCTGTGAGACAGGGTCTATGCTCACTTTCCTCACCATGACACCTCCTTTGCCCAACATAAGGTCCACCACAGTCATAGTAGGAGTTTTATAAATACAAGGTGAATGAATGAACCATGATCAGTTACTAACATTGTGGCTCAAATTGTTCAGCAGGTAGGAAGGGAAGAAAGTTTTATATATTAGTTTCCTATTGCTGCTATAATATATTGCCTGAAATTTAATGGCTTAAAATATAAAAAATTATTATCTTACAGATCTAGAGTTTGGAGGTCTGCAGTTGTCCGCGTGGCTGTGTTCCTTCTGGAGGCTCCAGGGGAGGGTCTTTTCCTAGCCTTCTCTAGCTGTCACTTACATTCTTGGCTCGTGGCCTGCCCTCCACCTTCAACGTTCACAGAGAGGAATCTTCTCTCTAACCTCTCCCTCCCTCATTGAAGGACCCTTCTGGCTATGTGGGACCCTTGGATAATCCAAGATAATCCCTATATTTTAAAATTAATTTGATCACATTGGCAATATTCCTTTTGAATGAAAGACAACATATTCCCAGGCTGCGAGCATTGGGGCGTGGACATATTCTATTGCAGGGTTTATCCAGAACGAACGAGCAGGAGGAAGCAGTAAACCACAAACTTGTGGGACTTCCCTGCTGCCAGTGAGTCTGTGTGGGAGTCAGTCAGCCTTGGGTGATGCATCCTGGGGACAAGAGGTGGGGAGAGGGCCAGTCAGGGTGGACTCACTTCATCTGGTAGAGGTTGTTGGTGCCCCTGTGGTCAATGTCATGGCAGAAGGCAGCGGTGACCATGGCCAAGGCCTCCAGGTCTGTGAAGTATCGCTTCAGCTTTCCTGTCTGGAAGGGCAATCAGAGGGCCACTATCTTCTTTCTTGTGGGGGCCAGAGGTAGGGCTGAGGGGTCAGGTGTGAAGGGGAGGGACTGGAGCTTGAAGACACTGGTCTGATCTTGGCCCTCCCGTCTCCACAGGGTGGGATGAAGGGCTTGCCCAGACTGGGACAGGCCCTAGCAGAGGCAGACGGTGGGTCACCTGTGCTGCCCTTTGAGGTCCCATCTCCCTCGGGTCTCAGTATCCCAGTCTGCACACGGGATTGTTGAAAAACTTCCTGTTTTCAGCTTTTAGACTTTGGGACATTATAAAAAAATGGCCAGACTGGTAAAGTAACCCTTCCAAACCTGATCTACTGGTTTGGGCACAGTCCAGAAGGATCTTTTTCCAAGTGTCTTTTAAATATTCAAATCTTTGCTCATGCTGGGTGTTAGAGCAAAGGGAGGGGAAGAGCTCTGGGGAGATGAGCTGTCTTTGACACTATAAAAAATAAGTCAAGTGTGAGGCGTGATTGTCACTTTCTATGGCTACTTGGCCACAGTTCCTTCCTCCAGGCCTGAGTGCCTTGACTGGGAAAGGAATGAGGATGAGGAGTCTGGGCAAGGGCAGGGATTTGCATCGTAACTGGGATGGAAAAAACAGTTTTAAAAGAAGTATAAAGGGCTCCAAACCCTCTGGGCCAGAAATGCTGATACAAATGCACACAGGCAGGCCCTTCACTGATAGTGCCAGTGTCCAACAGCAGGGGCTGGCTAGAGAAATCATGGTCTACCTAAACAATACAGAATGCTGTGCGGCCACAGTCCCATCGTGGAGAAGCCTTGAAAAGATGGTAAATGAAATAAGCCAGAACACATAGAAGGACAGACACTATAGGAGTCCCCCCATGCGAGTGGTCAAATGTATAGACTCAGAAAGTCAGTGGTGGTCGTGGGGACTGGGGAGGAAGGGTGGCGAGTTGTGTACTGTACCAGAGTTTCTGTCTGGGGCAGTGGGAAAGTTCTAGAGCCGGATGGGGTGGTGCTTGCACAATAGGGCCAATGTGCTTAATGCCACTTGCACACCCAAAAGTGGGCAGGATGGTACATGTTATGTTATGTATATTTTACCACCACATGTGTGCATATAGTGCATATATGTGTAATATAAAACTATTCCATTAGCTAATAATCTCTGTGTGTGTGTTTATGCACAAATATGTCTCTGCGGTCTCAGAAGAAAGTTCAGAAAGAGTTAGTTGTACTATGGTTAGCTCCAAATAACTGGGCTAAGATTGAGTGTGTGTGTGTTGGGGAGGGGTGCAGCTTTTTTCCCTCACTTATTATTTATCTATATTTTTCTATTCACCACTCTCTACCCCTTATCGAGGTGACTTGGGTTTACACCTGGTCACATGCATGCCCCCAGCCACCCCACGAGCTGCGTTCCTTCTCCACAGACCCCTGGGTGCCCTTCCCACCCCAGTTCTCTCTCCCACCCCTCCGCCCCCCCCCCCGGCCCACCTCCAGCTTCTCTCTTCGTGGACTTCATTTATGCCAAGCATGTGCCCTTCTGCATTGTTATTTCAAAGCAATAAATAGAGCAGAACCATGCAGCCGCTCTGGGGGAGCTGCACGGGGCGCCCCCACCCCCTTGGCCGCCCGCCGTACCACCAGAAGGGAGAACATGGTCTGCCCCACGTTGAAGCCGTGCCGCCAGTTGTGGTAGGTGATCCTGCGGTAGCCCTTGCTCAGGGAGTACATGAAGCGCACCAGGGCCTGCGAACACACGTGGCGCCCGTGTGAGCCATGCCCGCCTCTGCCCCGCGCCCGCCCAGGGCCTCCCGCCACCCCCGCTGGCCCCGCGGCCCCAGGAGAAGCCGCAGCCTGAGAAGGCACTGCCGCTGCATGCTCTGAGCACGGTCGTTGCTACACCACGAGGAGGATTCACCGCACTTAATCCACCGATAAGCTTCATCATCGGTGACTTGCAAAGAGCTGCCGTCCTGGAGAAGCAAATGGGAGCTTTGGTGTGCGTGAGGGGGGAGTGGGGTGGGGTGAGATCAAAAGTGTCTGCAAATCAGGGGTTTTTAAACCCGAGCGCCCACCAGAAGCACCTGAAGGCTTGTGAAAACAGAGCTTCTGAGTCATCAGAACTGTGTGTGTGTGGACATAAAAAAAGCTCTGAAAACTGAGAAGCTCTCCTTTGTAAGAGACATCTGCTTATATAAGAGGACTCCTTGGTGGGGCCTCTCCCTCCCTGTTCCAGGAAGAGGGAGGTGTCGGTGATGATATACAAACGTGGCATTTGCGGGGTTGGGGGGCGTCTAGCCAAGTCTGTTAAAATTCCTTTCTGTGTCCCACTGTTTCTGCAGGGTCCAAGACATATTTTTTTTTTTATCGAACCTTTGTTCGTCCATCTTCCTGTAAATTGTGTCCCTTCCCTTTTAAGTCCTAACCCCATCCCTCAACATTCTCCTCTTCTTTAGCTGAGGATGGTATCTAGCACCTGAGCCATTTCACAGTTACTTGGTTTCGCTGGGTCACTTCCATGTGGACAGGAGGCATTTTTTTCTTTGTTTTTTTTTTCTGCTCATTGGTTTATTTCTTTTTCTTTTTCTTTTCCTTTTTAAGACGGGCTATCTGAGATGAGAACTTGGAACAGTGAAAAATATTTTTTCCTCCCCTCCCTGAGTAAGAGAGAATTTGCGTTTCTGATACTTTGTCAGGTGCCTCTGATGTGGTTTGGGACAAAATTCTGAGATACACTGCTTTCATCCTGTCATCCTGCAAGTCTGGGAAATGGTGAACACAGAACCCCTACCCCCCCTTCTCTTGCCATCACCCAGACCTTTGCATCACAGTACAGCTCAGTAAGAAATCCTGCAGAAAGGGCCCTATGTAAGTGGATTTGACTACATTTCCCACCCTTGGTGGGCTGTAGGCCGGTGCCCTGCATCTCAGCTCGTTACAGCCTTCAGAACTCAGTGCCTCTGGACCGCGAGAAGCCGGTGTGCCTGAAACGCCTTAGTGCAGAGGAACTGAGTGTCTCTTTACTGATCAGGGCCTTATCTGGGCAGCACAGCTAGTGCTTGCAATCCTAAAAGTCAAGGGTACACAGTTGTTAAGGCAGTTTACAGACAGACATTTTCAAAAGCAAGATAGAAAGAAAAAGAGAAAGAGACATCAAAGAGGTTTGTTTTGAACTTACCTCCTGAGGAATGTGAAATTTATCCACCACTTTGAGCTCATAATACATCTGTATCCCACACTTCACCAGCTCCAGTTCTGTCAGGGGCAAGTCGCTGAAGTGGAATTTATTAATTTCATATTTCTCTGCATCAGGTAGCTCTGCTTGCTGCGTAAAGACCAGGAGCGAGTGATCAGGACACTTGGGATGTCCCTGGGCCTCACCCCTTCTCCCATCAACACTGCCCCATCCCAAGTGGCTGGGAGGTGCTGCGCAGAGGAAAGGAACCTGCTCTGCAGAGGCCCAGCTGGTGCTGCTGTGCCCTCACCAGGATCTCAGCCAGCTCCTCTTCCTCACACTCCCACGGCTCCTTTCCATACACCTCTCTGGTTTTCTGCCAGACCCCAAGAAAACAGAGAGTAAAAACAGTAGGTTACTACATTGATGGTCTAAACGTGCCTCCACTTTTCCATTTCTATGTTTTTTTCTTCCTCTAAAGTCCTTGCAACAGAACCACCAACTCTATAAAATGGAGACAATCAAAATACTGAACTGGTGAATTGAAATCAGATTACAGAAAGTCATTTTTTAAAAGCATGCATATCACTAAATGAAATACTGCATGTAAATCTGGCACAGTGCTTGGCATGTAGTTAGCACTAAATTAAATAGTACTGTAGCTGTATTGTTATTATTACTGACTGGGAGTCAGGAAGCGATGCTCCTGAACCTGCTCATTCTCTCACTGTGTGACTTGAGGCAAGTTCCTCCTGTTCTGGCCTATTTCTCATCCAAGCTGGATGTTTTATCCTTTGAATTGATCGGTTAGTGGAATATGACGAAAATGACGAAACTTGATGTGCTATCTTTCCAGTTTAAGAAGATATCTGAAAACATTGGTCTGACTTGTTTCAACTTGTGAGGGCCATAAGCCAAGGTCTTGGGAGCTCAGTTTGGCGTCATAGCCAATGCCATTTGGTTAATTCAGTTTACCTCTAAAATCTTGAATTCTTTAAGACCAAAATCCCAGGAATGATGAATCACTGATTCCCACATATCTTTGAAAGCATCTGGTCCAATCTCCCACTCCAGGTAGAATTCTCAACAGCATCCCCGATCTATGATCATCGAGACCCTTGTTGGATACCTCTTATGACGAGGTGCTCACTACCTCCTGAGGCATTCCGTTCATAAGAATAGTAGAGAATTTTCCCATTATCCTGATAAGGTTAACTGAGACCTATTTAATAATCTGAGTAATTCGAGGACAAGTTATTTCCTCCTTTTGGCTTCAATTTCTTCATCTCTAAAACGGGGATAGAAATTCTGACCTTTTCCCCTTTATGGGGCTGTTGTAAGCATTAAACAAGATTGTAAGTGTGAAATTGTCTTATAAACTAGGGAGTGATAAAACTCTGTGAGGGACATCTAACTTCCTCACTCTTACTTCTTTGCTCACCAAGGTCCTCTGTAATCTGATTGGGTCTTCTAAGTTAGCTGACCCCATTGAAGGAGGGTCTGAGAAGAACGCTGTCCATTGTCTGTCAGATAGAGATAACACTTAGAGTAAGAACAGTGGTTTGAGGACTCCATCTCCAGTACCAAGTCAGCCTGACTGTAGTGAAAAATGGAGTGTCTAGAGCTGCTAAACCAAGACTGAGGTGACCCTGTAAGGGACATGTGTCCCCACGCCTTACAGAGCAGCCATTATGTACTAGTCTCTGGCACTCATCCATCTATCCATCCACCCACCCATCCATCCGTTCCATTCATCCATCCATCCATCCACCCACTCACTTCATCCATCCGTCCATCCATTCATCCATCCATCCATCCATCCATCCATCCATCCATCGATCCGTCAATCCACCCACTCCACTCATCCATCCATCCACTCACCCACTCCATCCATCCATTCATCTGTCCATCCACCCACTCCATTCATCCATCCATCTACCCACCCACTCCATCCATCCATCCATCCATCCATCCATTCCCCCACCTACCTACAACATCCCCTGTGCTAGGCAGGAGTGAGATGAGAAAGCCCACCCTAATCTATGCTCTTGTGGAGCTTGAAGTCTTTGCTTTACATCATCATGTCTCCAAAGCACAGTCTCTGCTAGAGTAGAAACAAGGAAAGAACTTTACCCACCAAGATTTTCTGAATCTCTTCATTGTCACACTTCACATGGTATTTTACCATGTCCTGGAAAATATCCTTCCTGTTTTCAAGTTTGTTCATTGATTCATAGGTGTCAGGATTTAAGACAGACCAGCCCAGGAATTGAGTCAAGGACTGAAAGGGAAGAAAGGAAGAATCAGAGGCAGAATGTCAGGTTCTACCTTAACTGTAACTTGAGGCGAGGGTCTCTATGCCACCATTTTCTCAACTATAAAATGGGTTTGATGAGCTGGGTACTGCCCCCCTCAAAGAGATGTGAGGATAAAAATGAATGGGAATGCCCTTTAAATAAGGTACTAGCACACGTCAAGTGTCATTCTTGTGTCATAAATTCACAAAAAGGGAGTGTGCTGTGTGACTGTGGGGATAGGGCATGCGGGAATCTACTTTCTGCTCAGTCTTGCTCTGAATCTAAAGCTGCTCTAAAATGTAAAGCTAATTAATGTCTTTCTTTTTTTTCTTTTTTTTAAAAAGATTTATTTATTTATTTATTTATTTATTTATTTATTTATTTATTTATTTATTTATTTATACAAGCACTAGGTACAGTCAGAAGCACGGGAGGGTGAGAGGGAGGGTGAGAGAATTCACCAGAGCCAGAGCAGAGAGCAGAGCGGGCAGAGTGATGAAGTACACTGCTGAGGGGAGCAGCGGGCGGCAGGAGAGGTCTGCGCGCCATGTGGAACCCTCAACCGGTGGCCGGGGATCGAACCGGCGTTGCAGAGGCTGCAGGCAGCTTTGCAACCCAGCGCTCAACCACTGCGCCACCAGGGGAGGCTCTAATTAATGTCTTTAAATGGCATGTGTGGATTTCTCTGCCAACGTGTGGCAGTGCAGAAGGGAGAGTGAGAAAGTGGAGTCTGAGGCCGAGTCAGGGTCACACTTACAAGGCGAGGTCCCGTCTCCCACAGCAGTAGCAGTACCATGGGCCCCACCATGTGGTTCTGGAAACCCAGCTCAGTGACAGGCTGATGCCAAATCTCTAAATCCCAACAGCAGAAACCTCCTGCAAACCATACCTCCATGAGGGTCTCATCCATTTCATCAAAGGGTTTCCCGTCCTTGCGATTATAAAAGGTAGCCACTCCAACAATTTCTTCCTTCTTGTTCACAATTGGCATAGAGAGGACATTTTTAATCATCCACCCAGACTCATCCAGAGGCTCTTTCTACAAGAGAAGAGAGAGCATGTTTCCCTGGGCAGTGGGCTGCGGAAGCAGCTGTGGTGGATGACACATTGCATCCTGACCCTGGCTGGCTAAGAGGGTGGCAAGAAGTCAGAACTGACTGGATTTTGCATGTGTCCTTCACCACACAAATGCCAGGAGCAGGTCACCCTTCTGTTGGAGCTTCTTAACCCAGAGTTACTTTGATTTCCTCTCTAAGATGTCAGGGCCATTGCACGCCAGGCAGAGCGCTATGTGCCAGGACAAAAGAAAATGCACAAGCAGTCCAGGGAGACGATGCTTCTCTCTCAGACAGGGGCTACCTGCGGGGGGGCTGGCTTTAAAGAGGCCACGTTGGCGATCCTGGCAACTCGGAATGAGATAACTAGTTAGACCCCGCTCTGCTTGTCTCCTGTCCTGGGTTACTTCTAGTGCATTATTTAGCCTCTCTGGGCTTCCAGTTCCTCATCTCTAGATGGAGAAGATAATAAGAACATGTGCCTCATGGACCAAGTGAGAAAACAGGTGAAATTTTTTTTTTTTAATTTTTTTTTTTTTTAGTAGAGGCATGTTTTATTTATTTATTTTATTTGTTTGTTTGTTTTGTTTTTACATGCACTGGGTACAGTCAGAAGCACGGGAGGGTGAGAGAATTCACCAGAGCCAGAGCGGGGAGCAGAACAGGCAGAAGGACTGAAGTACACTGCTGAGGGGAGCAGCGGGCGGCAGGAGAGGTCTGCACGCCATGTGGGACCCTCCTCCGGTGGCCGGGGAGCAGCCGGGGATCGAACCGGCGCCGCAGAGGCCGCGGGCAGCTTCGCAACCCAGCGCTCAACCGCTGCGCCACCGGGGAGGCCCAACAGGTGAAATTCTTGGCCAATCCTAAGATGACCTTTGTACATCACTTCCCATTTGTGAGAGCTGCACGTGCATCGTGTGTACAATGGGGCTAACTGGACTAGATCTTCCCAGTCCGGTCAGAATCTGCTGACTCACCAAGCATTTTACAGAGAGCAAAAAACTGAGGTGGCAGCCAGGGAAACCAAGGCAGATGAGGCACAGGCATTGCCCTCGGGTCACTCACAATCTGGAGGGTCACCAGGCAGTTATGCAGGACATGGGAAGTTCTCTAGGGGGCCGGGGGAGCCCCCTGAAGAGTCTTCCAGTTCCAAATTTCTAAGATTCTTAAAGTGGAGAGACGATCACTGTTATGATGAGGTAACTCTGGGACTCAGCATCTGTGCGGACGGATGCAGAAAGCAGCCTGAGGAGCACGGGGCTATTGGTCAGGTGACGGGTTCAAGGTCTGCCTTTCCCCCCACTCTCTACCTAACCCTTCAGGGGATCCCTTCTCTCTGAAGATAGTGTTAAGTTGACAGGGGTTATTGACAGTGAAATGGGAAAGAGGGATCTTATAGCACACAACCCATGTTTTAAAACAACCACTCAGGCTACTTTGGGGAGGATGACTTGGAGGGGAAAGAGTCAAATCTGGAAACAAGATCAGATTTGATTTGCTAATGTGGGTCCAGTGCAATAACTGGACGACCTGGGGAAACAAGTCTTGTTGTGGTTATAATCACCTTGGCAACTGGAAGCAATGACTTGGGCTTGTCACTCTGAAATGGTAGAAGTCACAGCAAAAGGTGTATATTATTTCAACTTCAGAAGTATGTAGTTTTCCTAAGAGTCATTTTTATGTCCTTCTTAATTATGCCTGATTGCTATAGATTTGTCTTTCCTCATACCTAGCAAATATTAACAGGGTCAAGAAGATATCAAGGAAGATAAGACCCAACTCCTGACCGAGTAAGCTAATTCTTTGCTGAGGGGGATTAGTGTTCTTTCTCTCCGCCTTTCTCCTGACCAGCACTCCCATTTGCAACCATGAGTTCCATGGAGACAAAGAACATGTTGTCTCGCCCACCATGGTAGCGTCATGCCAGTGCTTGGCACAGAGGACGCCTTCAGTAACTTGTGTAAAAAGAACAAACAGAATCAAATGGAATACCAAATATTCCATGAAAGTCTCCAGGAGACAGAGATACTACCCAGCCAGGGGAGAAAAATAAAACCTCATGGAGGTTTCATGGCATTCCATGTTCTAAAAAGGCAGAGGGGACTTGGGCTGGGCATGACAGTTGGAGAGAGAACAGAATAAGCAAAACCCAGAAAACAAAGGATGTGAACACTAAAACTGAACAGGACCTAGAAAAATACCGAGGGAACTTTCTCCTTCTCCACTTCCGTGGCCACATGACTTTGTGGTAAAAGTGTGTGCGCTTGTTGAGACCGCTTTCCAATAAAGACTTGGATTAGAATGTATTCTGATACTCTATGGGGAGAAACGAATCCTATGACTAAGAGCAAAGAAAAACTGACTCACCTGGAATGCAAAGAAGTCCTCTGCGGGAGCATTCATGACATTGCAAATCTGGAAGGTGTAAGGGGATAATGCAGCTGAATTAGACTCGAGAGGGTGCCAGTGCAACCTTGCGTGCTGTTTTCCAAACACCACAGCCCTGCCTGAGGCTTTCAAATTCTTTTCATCAAGTGGACATGCTTGAGATGGTTTTGAATGATTAACTGTGTCCATGGACAGAAAAATAACTATCTTATAAACATCTTTGGTCACCATTTGCTCCCCTTCTGAGTCATTTCCAGGTTTTGAAAAACTTGAGACTATAACTTGTCACTAATAGTTAGATAGCATCTCATTTTGTTATTTACTTTTGTTAAGTACATTTTCTGTATTCAGTTATTTTTTTTAAAAGATTTATTTATTTATATAAGAACCAGGGTACAAGCTAGATGTGCAGGAGGGTGAGAGGATTCACCAGAGACAGAGCAGGGAACAGAACAGGCAGGCTGATGAAATACACTGCTTAGGGGAGCAGCGGGCGAGAGAGGAGAGGTCTGCCGCACCATGTGAGATTCTCTCAGGTCGGCCGGGATCGAACCCGCGCTGCAGAGGCTGTGGGCAGCTTCACGGTGCGGCGCTCAACCGCCTGTGCCACCAGGGAGGCCCGTATATCCAGTTATTTTTTTAAATTAATATAACAAATGTCTTTGAATCAATTGCATTGGGGTTTGATTTTGTTTGTTTTTTAAGGGAGGAGTTTATCCCTGGGGTACAAATTCCAGAGTAGAATGAGAAATGAAAGGTGTTGTAACTTTGGTTATGTATCGCCAGATGCTTCTTCTGGAAATTGGACCAGCTTTCCCTACCAGGCAGATGGCATGTGCGTCTCCCTCTGGAGCCCTGCCCGTGGTGCTCCTGGGTACAGCTGTGTCCAGCTGTGTCATGTGAGTCTTACACAGGGCATCTGGCTGTGGAGAGGAAGGGAGCTGAAATCCAGCCTGGCTTGCAGACTCATGGCCCTAGCCCTTCCCTTGCTACCCATTAAGAAGGGATACCTTCTTCTAATTCTCTAAAAGTCACTCTGGGCTTGCAGCAACCAGTCCCCTCCCATTGGACATGACCTTTCCATGGTGACAGAGGGTAAGTCGTCCCTTCTCTTGTTCAAGGACTGCCCACATTGCACCATCCCTCTGGCCTCTCCTTGGATCCGCTCCATCAGTGGCCTTTCTTTCCCCATCTCCAACCTCTCTGCAGGCTCCTTCCCCTCAGCCGTGAGTGGGCACGAATCTCTTCCAACCCTGAAGATGAAATCTGCTCTTGACCTGACACTGTCCCCATAGCAACCACCCAGCTTTTCTCCTTTCTCTTGCGTTCCCTCCCTCCTCATTACCTATCCAGCAGCGCACACACTGGTTTCTGCCTCCACCTACTGCCAAACCTACTCTCTGGCCACCAGTAACCTCCTGATTGCCAAACCTGATGGGGGTTTCCAATGTGCCAAGATCCCATTTGCTGTATTCAGTTGTCTCTCTCTTTCAACTGTTATTGAAACAGTTCACTGCCTTGGTTTCCATGACAGTAGTTGCTGCCGGATCTCCAGACACCTCTGAATTCTCCTTCTGTTTCTCCTTCACCCAATCTTTAAATGTTGGTCTCCAACATTCCATCCTGAGTTCCCCTCACACTCCCTGGTAACTTCACCCCCACTCGTTTTATGTACCATCTTGTCCTGATAACTCCCAAACCTCCCTGTCCATCCCACCTCCCTCTCTACAGCAGAGTCATCTCTTCAGTTACCTGCTGGCCATTTGCTCCTGAAAAATGCCTCAGTCTCACTTTGAGACTGACCATCTTGCAGCCGAGCTGTAAGCACACTGTCCCGCCAGTCTGGAAGCCTGAAATTGACATTGACGCCTTTCTGCTCCTGATCAACCACAGAGTCCTACCAGTTTTACCTTCTCCATTTTATACCTGACCCCCGAGCTCTCTCCATCTCAACTCCGTTGTTGAGCAAATTTATTTACTGCCTTGCTCATCATAAGCACTCAGGTTGATAGGCCATATTTTTTACTGGCCATTGTTGAGATTTCATCTTCTCTTGCTTATATGATATATTGGTCGCTCTGCAGTTTTGCTCCCTGCAGACCTGTTTTCCATAGATTTTTCTAAAGTGAAAATTGACTATGCTGATCTCTTGCTTAACAATCCATTGCCTATAGACAAAACTTCCACCCCTTCGACCTGGCATCCAAGTTACTGTCACCTGACTCTTCCTTCCTTCTCCAGTCTCATCTCTTGCCATCTTTCTGTCTTGGACCTCAGACTCAGCCACGCTATCTGCACTCGTGCTGTGGCTTCCTGGCCCATGTTGCTTGCCCATGTTATTGCCTCCACCTCTGGAATTCTCTTTCCTGCCCCTATCTGCCAAAACTTATTTTGAAACTCGGCTCAGATCAAAACATCTTGGGGGCCTCCCTGGTGGCGCAAGGAGTTAAGCACCACACTATGAAGCAGATTGCTTCTAAGCTCCAGCATAGAAACTGTCTCTGATTCATCTATTTTTGTAGCTTCAGAGCCAATCACAGCACCTGCACATAGAAAACGTTCAATAGGCACCCTGCTACATGAGCAGAATTGTGTAGTGTGTGCCTGGGGAAGGACACAGGGGTGACTAGGCTTAAATATGGGGGTGATGTACAGCTAACAGATATGACTCTTCTCTCAGGGATACAGTCACTCTACCCTGAACCTGCAGTGGGTGGGGCATGGCGGAGACAGCATTTGAGCTCTGCAATACATAGCATGACTGGAAATGTGGCAGGATGGGAGTTTGGGAGTGGCGACTGGGTCTGTGGTATGAGAGGCTGGGCCTAAGTCTATGATCAGCCTGGTAGGCTAGTCAGCCATGACCTTGTCCTTGATACACGCATATGTGTCTTTTGTTGTCAGTGAGACAACTAAGGAATATTTCTCTGTGTATTTTGTATTGTCTCAAATGGAATTCTCTGTTCATCTCCTTGGACCAACTGCCAAGAAAACTGAGAAACAATAGAATACAAATTTTAGTAAGAAACACTTCCCATCATTTCTGCCATTTTCTTTACCTAGAGTCCTTTTGTAACAAGATGGTCCCAGGAAAGGGGAAGTTCCAGGTTCCCTGCCCCACCCAAGGGAGGGTGGAGCTGAGCAGGGAGAGAAGAAGCTTCAGAGGAGACTGAGGAAGGAAGGAAGCAGGATGGGGAGCCAGAAGGAGACCTGGAGGGGGTGCATGGAGCAGAGAGACATGTGAAGAAACTGCACTTGCCTTTTGGTTGTGGTCTGGGTGACACAGATGTGGGTGAGAGACCCTTGGGGAGGTGACAATGGCGGTTTTTGTCTTGATTTTGATTTTGCTCTTTTCCCTCCAGACTTGTCTTGTGGTTTCTGATCCTTTTCTGTGGGACCCCACTGAAAGATGCTTTGGACTTGTGGCAGGCTTTGGGGCCTTGCTCTGGGCCAATCCTGCTTGGATGGACTTTTACCCACGAGGGGACGGGTAACTTTGGGTGCTTGATTTAGAAACTATACTCTTTGCCTTTCCTGTATTGTTTCCTAATCGTGTTAAAGTCTCATATGTTATGTGTTGATGCGGCGGATGGCAGAACCTATTTAGACCAGGCAGGTTTGCGGGGTCGGGGGTACGCCCCCCACTCCCTGCCCTGTAACACTTTCACTTGTCCACCTGATTCAAAACTCTCCCCCTTTGAAGATACGTTACTTACCAGGCCATTCTGGGCAACATATGTGGGCAGACCGCTTACTAAAGCCCAGTGGTCAGGGGGTGGATTCCTAGAAAGACCAGAGGCAAATGGTCACGGAGGCTGTAGAGACAGTAGGACAGAAAACTTGAGCCAGGGTCTTCGCCCTCCCTCTCTACTCTCTGTCTATGACTTCTCTATCTTTGATGAGACCCAAACTTGATCAAGCCTCTTAATGTCCAAATTTAGACACCAAGGAAAGACTGATAAGTAACATTTTATAGATTGCACATTAATTTTGCCCAACAAAAGAGATAACATTTAATCAACAGGCTGTTACGGGCTGCAGAGCAAGAACAGGTTCCACCATTTCTTGCCATTAATCGTCCATAGAGTTAGCTCAATACTCTAGAATTCCCACCGTTAATACTTATATAGAGTTAGCTCAATACTCATAGCTGAGTGGAAAATTCCTCTATGGTGAGCTTCTACCACATACCAAGCACTGAACTAGGTGGTTTACATACTTATTTATCCCTTGCAAGGATATTAAAGTTTTGGTGTTATGACCTTTTACTCGCTTATTGTAAGGAAAAATACACCAAAAAATGCACTCAAAAGTCACCAGTCGTTCAAAAGTCAACATCTGTGAAGCCACACCCACACCCAGAGCAATGTGCACACCAGGAGGCCCTTGTGCTGCCTTCCAAGGGCACCTTCACCTGGACCCTAAAGTCAACCAGTGTCTAGACACTGAGAGAGCCACAGTCTCGCTTTTTTGCGGAGTTTCACAACTTAAGGATGCTTTCCTCTACCTTCTAGTTTGACTTTTGCCTGGTTTTCGACTTCATTCTTTTTTGCGTTGCAGTAACTTGTTCATTTTATTGACCTAGTTTTCCCTTGTGAGACTATAACACAATTGGTCCATTCAGCTATTAGTGGACATTCTCCCCAGTCTGAGCTAATATAAACAGCGATGCCACAGCCTCTCTGGTGTCTGTGTGCTTTTGATTCTAAGTGGCCTACAGCATCTGCACATATGGTATATCTCTTTAAAAGATTGAGAAATTTCTCCTCTATGGAGATAATTATGCATGTTTCCTTTATGTCACAAATGATATTAACCAATTTTCTAAAGTTAAACCAATCCTGTATTCCTGGAATAAATCTGGAATAAACCCTACTTAGTCATGAGGTATAATTTTTTTCAGTTATTATTTGCTATACTTTTACTTGGATATTTGCATCTATGCTCACAAGTGAACTTTGTCTGGATTTTTCTTTTCATAGTCCCCTTGTTGGGTTTTGGTATCAAGTTCATTCCATTCATTCATTTTTCTATTCTTTGGAATAATTTGGATGCATTTTGCCTTATATCTTCCTTGAATATTTCAAAGGCATCTGGGCCTGTGGGAAGGTCTTTTTGGTGTTCTATTTCTTCCTGTCTTGTGCTTAGTAAGTTTTATTTTCTAGGATTTTGCTTATTTCGTTTGATTTAAAATTTTTGGCATAATATACTCTGACTATCATTTTAACATCTGTGTATTTAATATATCATTCCTTTTTAGTGTCTGTGTACTTCACATATCATTCCTGATACACCTTATTTGATTTTCTTTCTACTTTTCTTGTTCTGTTTTACCAAGGATTTCTCAATTTTATTAATCAATTCCAAGTACCATTTTTGGTATTTATCATCGTTTTTCTTTTCTTTTTTTAAGGTCATGTTATTAAACGTATACAGATTTAGAATTATAATATCATCCTGTAACAGCAAGAGAATGGCCTCTTTACACTAAGTGACTATCTTTATCTCTACTAATGCTCTTTGACATATCTATTCTTATCTGATTTTAGTACAGTTCTGCCAGTTTTCTTTTGCATTTTTCTTTGCATTTCCTTTAGGATCTGCATGGCACATATTTTTTCATCTTTTTACTTTCAACCTCTATATTATTACCTTTTAGATAGGTCTCTTGTAAACAGGATATATTGTTTTTTGATATCTAAGAAGTCATCCGTTCTTATATGCAAGTAAGAAAGATAAAATTCTCACAACTCATGTGCTGCTTTGCTTTTTGAACTTGCAATCATTACTTCATTAATATCTACAGAGTTCTCTAAGCATTTAGATATAGATTTTTATCATATTTTTTTACCCCTCCTTTTATATTTTGTGCCAATCAAAGCAACTTTTTGTTTCAGTGAAGAGTCCTACTATAATCTCTTTTAAGTCATTTTCTATAGCAGTGAAATTCAATGTGGATAGAACCCACAATGCATATACTTAACTGAAGTAACAGTAATACAAGTGATTGTGACCAAGTTCACGCAGAGCCAGGCAATGACAACCACATCATTGCTGCCTTCTGGCTGACAGTAATCACATGCTGTCATTGATTCTATTTCAGAAATGTCCCAAAGTAGAAAATTGTGTCTCTTAGAATCCATGCAGTGTGACAGCTTTCCTTCTTATCCAGCCTGACAACCTGAACTGGAATATTAATTTATACTTAAAGATACATAAATATATATATATATAAATTTATAGATGTTATATTTATTTATTATTATATTTAAAGTTACATATTTAAAATTAATGTGTTTGAATTTAAAGATCATCTTAATGTGCACTTTTTATTTTTCCCACCTGCTCTATGTCCTTTCTAAATTCGCATTTTGTCTTCTCTTGGTTAGAGGAAGTTTTTCTTTACTATCCAGCTTTCCCTTTTTAGTTTGGCTGGCCTGGACTGGGGCAGCCACTCAAGTTATTTACAAAAATCCGGAGCCCACGTGTTCTGGAAGTTAGATGTGGCTCTGTGAGCAGGGGCATGACTGCCGCTCTGGAAGGAAGGTCAACAGCAAGTTTGTCCTGTTCTCACTTGCCTTGGGTCGGGTTCGTCTACCTTGCAAGATTTAAAACAGTGGCTATAGCTTACACATTATATTCCAGCCATCTTCATCACCAGCAATCGACATAGAGAGAGATGGTAAATAAATCTTTACTTATACCACTAAGGTCTTGAAGTTTTGTTGCCACAGCATGGCCTAGCCTGTGCGGGTTGGTACAAACATTGGTCTAGAGACAGGACTGCCATAACAAAGGACCCAAAGTCTGTGACATAGATGGAGGTGGGTGGAAGGCAGCAGGGGAGTGTTTGGAGGCCTGAAGGGTATGATGCTGACAAGTGATGAGATGGGGGAAACTCTGACTGTGATGCCTTAGGAGGCAGAGGATGATAAACCTGCCCCCTGGGGAAAGGGGTTAGAATAGCATGGTTGAGAGTATGAATCTGCCAAGGTAGCTGGGGAAGAGACCTAGATGAGCTTAGAAAACAAGGAACAGAGAGAACCCAGAAACTCAGGACCTGAAGCACTTTCCCTGAGAACTGCATTATCTGGCTGACAGAATCATTACAATTTGGGCTGCTGAGAAGCATGAAGGTGGGTGGCCTCTCATACCTGTTACACGGGGATTAAGGAGAACAGTAACTCCCTTCCGTTGGAGCAGAGAGCTGGGAGAGACCAAAGGTGGGGCTTTGCGGGCTCAAGGAGTCTGGCTTGGACTGGAGAGAGCAAGGGTCTCGGCTGTGGGTGTGGCTCCTGGCATGGGGACATAATTCAAATAGATCAAAGGGTGAACGATTTTTGGGGCGTGCTCTGCTGACCCCAAATCACTCAAGCCTGTCATTGAAAAGGACCTTGACTGAATCTTGATATGGCCTTGGTGTCCCCACACCAAGAGGCAGGTTCAAGTTCAAGGTATTGTCCTCTCGTTCTTTCCTTTTCATCCTCCTTGGTCACATAAGAACACCTTGGAGATTTGCTTGCCTTAGGGGCTGGGTCCCTTGGGGGCTGGGTGGCTTTCTTTGCCAACTTCCTGCTTTGACATTTGAATTGTCCCAATCAGATTTCATAGCCTTATTTTATAGATAAGAAACTGAGTCCCAGATGGGTCCACTTTGGGACCTGGTGCTGGAACTCACAGCACTTGAGTCGGGATTCTGTACAGTGGGGCTTTAATCAAATCTTTCTGCAATTGGGGCTTTCCCATGCCTCCACACTGCCTCCTTCCTGCTCTCCCTGCGGCTAACCGCGTGTGTGGCCCTCTTGGGCTTGGCTAGTGTTGATCTTGGCATGAATGGCTCATGGACATTGATGACATGCTGCAATCTATACATTTTGATTAGAAACTTACGGTATTACTTTAATATCTTCTTTGCCATGCAAGATGTAGTCAATGACCTTGTAAAAGTTGATTTCCTAGGCAAAAGAGAAGGAGAAATAGACCTTATAGTCCAAGACAGAACTGCAGCTGAAGAGTATCCATGAGAAAGGTTTTGTTTTGACAGAATGCCTTGTGGTTTTCTGGAAGCACCAGCTTGACCAGAACTTCTTCTAAGGAGTGGCCTCAGCTGCCTCTGGGCCTCACTGTCCTCAGCTGCATCTCAGAGTTCAGTGCCCTCCTCCTCGAAACCAGCTCACAGAGGCCAGTCAGGGATTGGTATCTGGGGCTGGAAAGAGGGAAGGGAAGTGCCCCCAAGGGACTCTGGAGGGTAGGCTACAAGGAGAAAGCCATAAAGATGGCTGCTGGAGTTAGTGGTGGGGATCAGGGGTACATAGAAACACTGCCAACTGGCCATCCTCTAGGTAGGGCTCGGCAACACGGTCACAGCCCCTTTTCATTAACTCGTGTACTCAGCTCTTCTGGCCGACCTTCCCGGCTATGCCTCCTGCCTCTCAGCTGTCACCCCTCTTCCATCTCTTCCACCTTGTGGTACCATGAAGACGCCCATTCTATTAAGTGGGTCTGTTCAGTTACGTTATTCCTAACAGGAAGGTGGTTCCTCTCCTTCACTCTCCAGGGAAAATCCCACCACCTTATTAGAGTCCCTGAACACCCATGTGTGATGGGCAGGTTAACAAAATCAGGACCCTGAGAGATGGGACTTATTTGCAATAAGACAGTGAGCCAGGGGCAGGGCCAAGACCTTGTGCTATGTTCCTGAAGGTTGAGAATTTATGATAGCATTACTCTCTAGATTCTAGGTATCATCTAGAACAGAACCACTCACAATGTGGTCCCTGCACTGGTTCCAGCCTGCATACTATTTGTTACCTTTCCATGATGAAACAGACAGGCATTCAGAATTGGTGTTTAGAAAGTTCTATAGTACTGAATTAGGTTAGGTCTGTTGAAAAGAATTATTTTAAAAAGGACTTACTTTTTTTTTAATTAGTTTAAAATTGTTTCAATTTTATATTTCTAATATTTTATCATATTTTATCATATTTAAAAAAGTATCAGCCCCAAATAGATTGGAAATAAAAAAACAAAACAAAACTGTTGCTTTACTCCACAGGTATTTTGACAAGTACTGCCTCCGAGACTTAAATATAGAGCCCTCCCCCTCCCCCAGGGCTTCTTACTCAGGACCTGCATAAATAGAAATTCTTGACCCAGTCAAGGATATTAGAAAGCCTGTTTGATCGACAGGTCTCCCACTTCCAGGAGACACACTCTGGCTAAACAAAAGGCAGGAGCTCAAGCTGATCCAATGATGCCAACAACCCCATATTTGCTCCCAAGAGCGGGAAGCATCCAAGTATTAGAGCAGCATCTCCGTGAAAAGGAGAGGGACATTGCAGAGCATTGTATGGGCACCATTTTCCCCATGCCCACTTACATGCAGCCTCCTTGGGTTACAAGTCCCAGTATACCATGAACCAGACTTCCTGAGCAGGGGAGCTACTGGGATTTAGGTGTAGAGCTGAGCAGACTATATAGCACAGAAGACAGGCTGGTGCACTCTCCCACTTCTGCAGCCTGACTTGCACCCTAGTACTGGTGGGAAGGACACTTGGAGGAGACAGTGGAGGAGAGACATGTAGAGACACTGGGAAGAGGCACGTGGGTGAGAGACACAGGGGAGGATGATCCAAGTCCTTGGGAGTGAAAATGGCAGGCTGTCCTGACTTCATGGTGGATTCTGTGGTACATTTTGAATTCAGAATCTCTCCTTTGGTCCCAGCTCTTTGGTAGCTACTTAACCCCTCTCCTGTGGCTCCCTGCAAGAAGAAATCTTAGATTTGTGGCAAGCTTTCTGTCCAACTCTGTTTGACTGGCCATTTGCCTGTAAGGAGATGGAGAATTTTGGGAAGGCACTGAAAACATGTTAGGAATATCCTTTCTTTTCTTCTCTCTTTACGCACAATTCTGGTAAGATATTTTGCACTAAGAGTCTACCTCCTTTGCCTTTGCAAATGAAAATGGCTGGATCTCTTTCAGAGTTTGCACCCATTCAACAGTTTGGGGCCCCTGGTTACTCCTAGGTCACAAGCTAATACAAGGGGAGACCAGATGAACCCTGAAGTATAATGAATGGGATGAAGAAAACATCTAGAGTGAAAAGACTCAATTTCCAAACTTGAAGTGCATTCTCTGAATCTCAGTTCAGAAGTTCAGAGTAATATTAGGTCAGTGGGGTTTGTTGTTGCTGTCAAGTTGCAGAACTCTTTACCCAAACAGCAGGGAGTCTAATCAGATAAAGCAGGTAAAAGGGAAGCTGCCCGGATGGAAGCAGAGTTGGGCACATAGTGACCCCATGTTTCCCTTTGTTCTCTCTTACTCCCTTTTCTGTCCCCCGCTCCACCCCCTCCATTAACCCCTGTCCAAGGTAGTCACTGTATAAGTCTAGAGTTCTAAAGACAACTTGGGGAGTTGTAAAACCCAGACAAGATAATCCCTAAAGTCATTTTCAGCTATGATTCTAAGGTTGTGTTTGGATAGGTAGCAATATCTCTCATAGATTAAAACCAACCTGTTCTTTTGCCCAACAATTCCATATGTGGTAATAAGCCCGATAGATGCCCTACCAAAATGTGGTTAAAAACACTGTGCCCCAGTCAGGGTTCCCTCCAGACTACTTTAAAAACACTGGAGAAAATATCTTGTCCATCATTAGGAGCATGATTACACAAGTGGAATGTCTGCATAGAGGATTTTTAGCATGTCTCTGGAAGGAGAGAGCTGATCTGGACTGATAGGGAAAGACATAGTTAAGTAAAAGTAAGGCACATATAGAATCAACACATTTGTCAAAGATGATGGTGGCAAAATGCAGAAAGTCTGGATATTCATAGACATTCCTGAAAAGATGTCTGCTAACAGCCTCGGGAGGCGGCCAGGTGAAGGGGAGGCAGGACTTTTCCAATAAACATAAACACATTGTGCTAAGAACATTTTTCTATAGTGAACATTGTCTTGTAGACAGTTCTAGAAAGAAAAGGTAGATGCATTGTCTGCCAGGACTTTGCTAGAGTTCAGTTTCTACCAGGGAGGGGGAGTACTTCTATAACCTTCCTCACCTTATGGAGTCTCTGTCTGTCCTAGAACTTGTTATCTCAGCACTTAGACAAGCTGCTGGCTCCCTGGGCCTGGCAGGCTGCCCTACTTGGAGGTGTCCACGAGACTCCTTCAGAAAGGTTAGAAGTAGATGTCCTTTGAAACCCACAGGAGAGTCAATTTGCTTTTACAGAAAGCAGCACAAAAGACCAGTGTGCCATAGGTAAATAGGATTTTTTTCCCCACACACTGTAGCTCAAGTTGCCTTCAAGGCCATATTCATGTAGGAATTTACCAGTTTTGGAAAGTCAAAACTGAACCATCAGTGAGCACCTTTTTTCACCTTCCACTGGAGCAGCTAACACTATTAACAGAGGGTCTTTGAAAGAGCCATAAATACAGCATAGCCAAATCATGGTACGTGGAAATACACTAGTTTTAAAATGAGTGCAGTTTTTGTTTTTTCCATGAAACCTAAAGCTCAAGTAACTTTTAGTGATTCTCTCACACACACGACCCCCCCCCTCAACATTATGTTTTTTCCTTTGAAAGTGTATGTAAAAGTGTGTGATTTTATCTGTATGGATTTTTAATTTTTTTATTTTTTTAAAGATTTATTTATTTATGCATACAAAAACTGGGTGCAGGGGGTGGGGGTGAGAGACAGAGTGGGGAACAGAACAGGCAGACTGAGTGAAATACACTGCTGAGGGGAGCAGCGGGCAAGACAGGAGAGGTTTGCTGTGCCATGTGGGTCACCTCCCTGGCCGGCCGGGGATGAAACTCGTGCTGCAGAGACTGCGGATAACTTCACAGTGCTGTGCATAACCCCTTGTGCCACCAAGGAGGTCCTGCATGCATTTTTAAAGCGGGTTAGTGTATGTTGCTTTCCTTAACTTTGCAAAGGGATATATGTCCTAAAGAGAGAAAATGAGGAGTTGCTGCTCTAGGCAAAATTGAGAATCATGGCCTCCATTCTTTCCCAGATGTTCCTCATCATCCCGGTGTCCCTGGCCCTTTTTCCTCCCCCTCCTTTTTTAACCTCAGAACCCTCAGGATGTTGACTGATGTCCACTGGCTTTTGAAAGTGTCTGCTATGTGAATGTCCAATATCTGTTTTTATCCTTGTGACTTACTTTTGGTGACTCAACTCCTATGGCCAGGGAATTTAAAACAAAAATAAACAATTTGTATTATCTCAAGTTAATAAGCATCTATAAAGAAAATACAAGATGATTAAGTACACACTACTGAATGAAAGTAAATATTTACACAATATGTCACTGGTAAGGGATTAATATCCAAGTTATATAAAAAACTCATACAGTTCATCAATTTAAAAAATCACCCAATTAACAAATGGGCAGCAGATTTGAACAGAAAATTCACCAAAGAAGATATCCAGAAGTCTAAAAACAAATGAAAAAATGTTCATCATCACTCCTAATAAGAGAGATGCATATTAAAACTGCATTGAGATAACACTTCACACCCGTGAGAATGGCCTATATTAAAAAGACCCCCAACAACAAATGCTGGAGAGAATGCAGGGAAAAAGGAACCCTTTTTCACTGTTGGTGGAAACATGAACTGGTGAAATAATTATGGAAAGCAAACTGGATTTATCTTAAAAACTTGAAAATAGAAAACCTGTACAGCCTGGCAATCCCACTCTTAGACATATATCCACAAAATATATGAAACCATCAACAAAAAAATGCATTATATTTCAAAATGTTCATGGCAGTATTATTTACAATAGCTAGGGCAATGAAGCAGCTTAAATCTCCTTTGATGGATCAAGATGTGGTACATACACACCATGGACTATTATATAATCATAAGAAAGGATGCAATGCAGCCATTTCCCACAAAATGGAGACAATCTGGGAGAATTTTGAGAGAACTATGAGAATTA